GGATCGTTCTGCCTCCACCAAAGCTCCGCCCACAAAAAAAACGTCACCGTGTTCGCCAACTGAAAAGGGGTCTATAGTGACGAAAAAGAAAAAAATGTGTGGCTGGGACTTGATTTTATGCACAGGCTGTTGATTGGATGTTGAGATATGGGCGTGGCCTTTACAAGTGGAGGTGGAGCTGAACGTGAGCAGGAGCGGGTGTGAGCGCACTGGTGTTGAGATGCGTTTGGTGGATCGGATCACAAATGGACGACGCTAAATACAGGTGTAAACGGGGTGTAAAACACTTTGAGCTGCGGATTGCTTGCGTAGTGTAAACACTGTGGTGGAATGTGTTAAAACAGCCACAAAACACCGTCTACTGACCTAATGCGGGAACATTATGGGAAGAGCGCTAGCCAGACGGGATTTAAACTTTGCCGGCTGAACACTCAAGTTTGGTTTGAAGATGAAAACCTTTCCAAGCACAATGTTCTCTCATCATTCCTGATTTCCAACACACACTCACAGCGTTCGGCTGGTCTTGTGTCTGTCAGAGCAGAACCTAAAGCTGGTGTTTCCCCGTCGTCTCCGGTCAAGTTCATATGAAATTGCGTGAGCTTATATTGTCAATTAGATTGAAAGATCTGCAAAAACCCAAACATTTACACACCCATAGACCCTCCACTCGAAGAAATCAGGACAAAAGTGGATGAAAGTGGACAAAAGAGACGGATTAAACACCAGGGGCCTCATGTATAAAACTTTGCGTAGATTTCATCCTTAAAGTGTGCGTACGCACATAAGGCTGAATTTGCGTACGCACAAAAGTTTTCAGATTTATAAAACCGTTCGTACGCCAGAACCTGCGCAGAATTCACTTTATAAATCCCAGTCAGCGGGAGATTATGCGCATGTGCGTCTCCTCCCCGAAATAACCACATATGGAGATTACAACGCCTAGTTTAAATATGCATATCCTCATCTGCATATCATTTGCATATGATTATTCATCCACGTGATACCAAGTTTAACGGTACAAGACGTAAGAAAAATATGAAATGCGGATGTGCCGTCACATTATTACAAACATTTTTTTAGTAGCCTATATCCTTGCCTTGTTTTTGAATGATTAAATCAAATAGTGTTAAATACATTTCAGAGAAAGTTTTTCTCAATCTTTTCCACTGGCCAAATAGTATTTTTAATTGATTTATATTTTAATGGAAAGAGATAGACATGGTTGTGCATTATTTGCACGAAACAGTTTTCTCAGACAATCTCTAGTTAAAACATTAAAACACAGCATGCCAGAAGAAAAGTGTTCAAAAGCAATGCATCCACAACAAATAGGTCTATTTCTATTTATTGAATATATATATATATATATATATATATATATATATGAAGAGTTCAGATGCAAAAGCCTCTAAATGCCATTTGAAATGTTCTTCTTTAATGATGATTTTTATCAAACTTGTATATTTAAGTTCAGTAATTTCACTTAAATGGCAATGATAATTACCTATTAATTGTTATTTAAGTGAAATTACTGAACTTAAATATACAAGTTTGATAAAAATCATCATTAAAGAAGAAAATTTCAAATGGCATTTAGAGGCTTTTGCATCTGAACTCTTCATATATATATATATAGTAACTTCTCAGTAATGATTTCATGTAGTTTAAGAGTTAACTCACATTTAAAATATTTTATCTTATGAAAAAAAATATATTTTTCATATTTTAATGGCATATTTAATCTAAATGTTTATATCTTAAGTAAAACATAGTTTAAACCATTCTCTTATTTATTTAAACTGTTATTGTGAATATGGACTGTATTTATGATTTGGACTCATAATGAAGATTTACGGTTTTACTTCATCTGCCGTTAGATTATAGGCTATATGCGTCAGTTTCACCAAACGGCCCAACTCGCGTGCTGGCACGGTCATTTAAGAAGGGATGGATGTTTGCTTCAAGTGATGATAGGTTTGTGAAATTATATTTGAATTATCTTTCTGTAGATGTATAATTTTCTTTAGATTCTCTGTCTAATAGTAAGCAAAAAGACATTTGACTCCAGCTCACCATCGGTGTCGCCAAAACCCATAATCTTCTAAAAGAGTGCGTACGCACGGTCAAGAGCATCCTTACGGTGCGCACTTATTTACGCCGAGTTTATTTTTTATAAATCCCGATGTGCGCGTGGAAAAATGCGTACGCATATTTCTATGCCCATTTTGTGCGTACGCAACGTTTATACATGAGGCCCCAGGTGTGAACGGGAATGTGTCTACTTGTGATCCGAACGACCAGAACACATCTTCACACCAGGTGTAAACGGGGTCTAATGGTGCATTCTATTATTTATCCGTCTCGGAGATCCAAATCGGAAGACAGACGTTGCCTAGCAACACGCCCCCTTTCCTCGGATTTCTCCTCTCGGACGTCGGACAACCGTGAGAACTCCGTTTCGGAATTCAAGATGGCTGCGCCCTGTGTGACTTGTAAGCATGAATTGTTAGGTGTTCAGGCACGAAGTGCTGAAAACCTATTGTATTTGCTAGAAAGAAAAAAAAAATCCCCTAAAACGCATCGTGCAGCCCAAACCGTAAGGGCTGGAGCTCTGAAACTTTGTCAGATGGTAGGGCCTCAAATTGTGGAGAAGCTATCAGAGTATGAGCCCGATTGGCCCATAGGTGGCGCTACAGCACTGAAATGTAGTATATCATGATAAATCATGCCTGCTACATACAACTTAATGTCTTTTGATTCTTTTGTGCTTAAATGTCTTAAAGACCTGAACACCGATAAATGCTGCTTGCAGCTTTAATTTTCATTGTTTTTGGACCGCTTTGGTATTTTAAATGACGATTATAATCACTCGTATTACTGCGTCCCCTGTGGCTATGGGAATCGGTTGTTGTGAGTGCAATTACTTACGTTGCTAACAGAAGATTACATAAAGTGAACATTTTCAAGTTCAAATGGCTGCGTTTTGATAAGGTGTAGTCATCATATTTTTTTTTATGTAAGTACCCGGTACTCGGCCAGTGCTACCATTACGACAGCTTTCCGGGTGACGTCCATTTTTATTTTTCCCCAACTCGGACGCGCAAAACATAGAACGCTTGAAGTGTGGACGTGACGTCATATCCGAGGTCCGAGTCGGTTCGTTGGCTATAAGAGAACGCACCACAAGGGCGTTTTCACACCTGTAAGTCCGCACCAAGGTCTGAACCAAAGTTCACGTTTTGTTACATTTTATACTTTCAGAACGCTTTGGTTTGTCTGTCTAAAACAATGGTTTGTACTCCGGTTGGAGTTTTCTTTGTCCAGATGTGTAAAGTTGTATGTAAGTATGGCAGAGATTAATTGTTGACTCTGAAACACCATGCAAGGGTGATTTATTTCCAGCAACTGCACACATCTATGATACAGCACCAGATCTGCTGACAGGTTTATATCACGTTTTAGACATTTTCAAACTAGTAATGTTGACTTACGCTGTTACTGTATTATTGCTGTAGTAGTTCTACACTGTAAACCTGATGTCCTGAGATACACATCTTAAAGGGATAGTTCACTTTGAAATTATGTTTTGGTATGTTTTATCTTACCTCAAGGGGATCCAAGATGTAGGTGTCTTTGTTTCCGCAGTATTTTCAATTTTGACATTTTTCAGTCAAACCGTTGTTGTCTATCAGTCATATAATGGAGACTAAGGGGGTCCACCAAAGAGCATGCACAGAGAAGTCCAAATTAAACATGATTTAATGACTCGTAATGTAAGTACACATTGATGGCCTAAGACACGAAACGAGCGGTTTGTGTGAGAAAACCAACAGTATTTATATCGTTTTTACCTCGTGTAATCACAGTGACGTCCAACTGATCTGAATCAGTTGTGCAATGTCCAACTGAAGCGAACTGAATCAGTTCAATGTTACGCCGGAAGTGATCGCTTGCGTGTGACGTCACTCAATATTTACACGGAGATTTCGGAAGTTTTACCTTTTACTAAACATATTTAGATATACCGAAATCATCTTCCATTGCGGTTTCCCGTATATCTAAATATGTTTAGTGAAAGGTAAAACTTCCGAAATCTCTGTATAAACAAAGAGTGACGTAGGCGCGCAAGCGATCACTTCCAGACCGAAGCGCCCGTGCTGTCAGATCATTTTGTCATGGCTATGATTACAAGAGGTAAAACGATATAAATACTGTTGGTTTTCTCACACAAACCACTCGTTTCGTGTCTTAGGCCATCAATGTGTACTTACATTTACGAGTCGTTAAATCATGTTTAATTTGGACTTCTCTGTGCATGCTCTTTGGTGGACCCCCTTAGCCTCCAGTGTATGACTGATAGACAACAACGGTTTGAAAATACTGTGGAAACAAAGACACCTACATCTTGGATGCCCTTGAGGTAAGATAAAACATATCAAAAATTAATTTCAAAGTGAACTATCCCTTTAATGTTTGAATGATTGAAATGTTATGCACATGTCTGATAACCGGGGGAGTATGAATGTTGAGTTATTAAAGGTTCTGTCATTCATCAATGGTTGCGTAACATTCAGTGACAGCATGTTTGAACTCGTCCTTTGTGTTTGGCTGGTGTCTGAGAGCAGTCTCGCTCCTCTACCTTTCTCGGCAGCATCTCCTCGCGAGGGACCGACTGTGCTCGACCCTCGGTCTTCATCTTGTCCCTCCTCTTCCTCACAGTGCGTCCTCGAGTGAAGCTCTACATGCACATACACACAGTAATTCTTAACACAAATAAATGTAATGCTGAAGAGTGTAATTTGTTGGTAAATAAAATAGATAAAAATAAATCTGTGTGACTGACTTTCTTCAAGTGGAACACTTGTTGCTCCCCATGAAATTGAAGTTAATGGGGTCTGATTAAATGACCATTAAATGTCATGGTCAAAAATGACATTTAATGGTTGTGTGTGTGTGTTCCAGAGAAGAGAGTCATGATTTTGACTGAAATTTTTGTCTTTTTGGACAAAATTCTGGCTATTTTTGTCAGTTTTTTCAGTCAACACACATTGGTTGCTATGTAAGGTAATTCTTCTGTCTCTCGTTTTAAACCTAAAACCGTATTCTGGACAAATGTGGGCAAAATAGTTTTGATTTAATAAAAAAAAAAAAATATTCCCTTGATCTGAGCGGTACAAGACTTGGCTACTTTTCCTAAGTTTGCCTCCTGAACGCACACACATTTTTTTTTGACTCAATTCTACAATGTTAAGTGGTTGAAGAAAAACAAAACTCCTTAATCTTGTATTTGGGTCAAAAATGGGCACCCATACAAATGAATGGGAAACACTGTAATTTAGAGACAAAAAAAATAAGACACCAGGTGACAGCAAAGTCACTTCATCTTTAGGTTTTAGCTCTAAGAACTTATTGGAAAGTACGGAGGCGTATTGCATTCACTTGAAGAAAAAAAAATCTACTCTGTTTTTCTGAATTAACGAGTTAATTTTTCATGAGAAAAAAAATTTTGCTCTGTTTTTCTGAATGAATGAGTTAATTTTTCATGAGAAAAAAAAATTTTGCTCTGTTTTTCTGAATTAACGAGTTAGTTTTCCATGAGAAATTTTTTTTTGCTCTGTTTTTCTGAATTAATGAGTTAATTTTTCATGAGAAAAAATTTTTTTGCTCTGTTTTTCTGAATTAACGAGTTAATTTTTCATGAGAAAAACATTTTTGCTCTGTTTTTCTGAATTAATGAGTTAATTTTTAATGGATTTTTTTTTTTGCTCTGTTTTTCTGAATTAATGAGTTAATTCAGAAAAACAGCAAAAATAAATTCTCATGAAAAATTAACTCATTAATTCAGAAAAACAGAGCAAAAACTTTTTTTCTCAAGAAAAACTAACTCATTAATTCAGAAAAACAGAGCAAAAACTTTTTTCTCATGAAAAATTAACTCATTAATTCAGAAAAACAGAGAAAAACTTTTTTTCTCATGAAAAACTAACTCGTTAATTCAGAAAAACAGAGCAAAAACTTTTTTCTCATGAAAAATTAACTCGTTAATTCAGAAAAACAGAGCAACATTTTTTTTTTCTCATGAGAAATTAACTCGTTAATTCAGAAAAACAGAGCAAAAACTTTTTTTCTCATGAAAAATTAACTCATTAATTCAGAAAAACAGAGCGAATTTTTTTTTTTCTCATGAAAAATTAACTCGTTAATTCGGAAAAACAGAGTAGATTTTTTTTTCTTCAAGTGAATGCAATACGCCTCCGTAACTAATTAATTGAGAAAAACAGAGCAAAAAAAATTTTTCTCATGAAAAATTAACTCGTTAATTCAGAAAAACAGAGCAAAAAAAATTTTCTCATGAAAAATTAACTCATTAATTCAGAAAAACAGAGAAAAACTTTTTTTTCTCATGAAAAATTAACTCGTTAATTCAGAAAAACAGAGTAGATTTTTTTTCTTCAAGTGAATGCAATACGCCTCCGTAGGAATATTTTAATGTCATGTAAAAAAAATAATTTACATAATTTACACAGAAAATATGGTACCTTTTGAAGTAAATAAATTCAAAAATACCCCCCAAATAAAAAAAAAAACCACCATAAATGGATAGACAAAACTTTATCGAAGACAGTGATATAACATTTATAATTAATAAAAATTAGGATCACACCTGAGTCCTCTGTGGCTGTGCCCACATTTGTCCACAATTACAGGATTAAGGGCTATAAAAATGAATGTAGTGCTTGTAGTGCTGTTGTTGTCTTTTGTCGTGTTGCGGTTGGTCACTGTGTTTTCTGTCCCGCCCTCCTTCACTGTGATTGGACAGCTAAGTAAAAAGTGACTGCGTTTTACCCAAAGTTGAACATTTTTCAACTCTCGGCATCCGGAAAAAACTGAAAGCACTCAGCGCACCATCATGCCACTGCCGTTTCTAAATATGCAGCGCTCCCATTGATGACGATTGAGAGAGAGGAAAATACACTGGCCTTAGGCGAGTAAATGATGACAGAACTTTCATATTTGGATGAACTTACCCTTTAAAGTGTTGTTCATCTGTACATATTTGGCACTGATCTGATATTTGTTCATCTGACGTCCAACTAAACACTTGTGTCTATTTGTCCTCTAAGTAGGGGTGTAACGATTCCCTCATGTCACGATTCGATACATCATGATACTGAACTCACGATACGATATCATTGCGATATGATAAAAGGTAAACACAAAATGTGCTGTTGATTAAAATTACAATTACATTGTGGGTGTAAATGAATAGGGTTGGACTTCTGGAAACCCAACACAGGACAATAGAGACACCATATTTTGTTGCACTCTTTCACTGACTAGACATTTGGAATTATCAGGACCTACAAATATCCCCCATTGCATTATTATACATTATATTCAACATTATATATGTTGAAACTGAGCCTAAAACATCCCACTTGAAACTTGATTAATAATAGATAATGAATCAAGAATAAATAAATCATTGAAAAATAGACTTTGAATGTTGTTGTTTTGTTTAGTTTTTTATATTCATATAATGAAAATGAAAGATTTTTTCAATGGCTCTTGAGTATGTGTGTGTTTTCGTACCTGCGGGGCTTTGGTGAGCAGCAGTGCCACTTCAGGATTATTATTTTCACGAGCCTGATCGAGGGCCGTCTCTCCTGTCTTCACCCAAAACAAGACACACAGCTAATGAACCATACGCAACTTCACACAGTTAAGCGTGTCATTTCTGCTGAATGCCAACCTAGAGAACCATGTTCCTTAAAGTCAATCATTCTGTCCCTTAAAACTCATATTTGATCACCAATATTACATATTTAAATATTTTTTCCTTGAAAAAAACAAATCTTCAAGCCTTAAAATACCTTGAATGTAACTCGACACCCTAGCTTTATTTAGCAAACGCGGTTCTATGAATATGCAAATGAGCCCCGCCTCCACTCACTCACTCAGCTCAGAGATCCACTCGTTCACCTGACGTTAGAAACACCAGTGATTTAAACCGTGTTTTTGAGACTGTCTTTGGTTCACTGCAAAAAACACTCAGCAATGCTGTCCACTCATGAGTTTACACATGGTTTGTCTTAAAAGCACATTAAAGGAGTAGTTCACTTTAAAAAACTTTTGCTGATAATTTTCTCACCCCCATGTCATCCAAGATGTCCATGTCTTTCTTTCTTCAGTCGAAAAGAAATTAAGGTTTTTGATGAAAACATTCCAGGATTTTCTCCATATAATGGACTTCAATGGGGACCAAACGGTTCAAGGTCCAAATGAGAGTTTCAGTGCGGCTTCAAAGGGCTTTAAACGATTCCAGACGATGAATTAGGGTCTTATCAAGCGAAACGATCGCTCATTTAAAATATGGTTAGCCAAATGACTCGAAAAAAGATTCGTTCATTTTGATGAACGAGTTCGAACAGGAGTCATGAACGCGCATCACAGAACAGAGCAAGGCGAGCATTTGAGCTTATAAAACTTTAACTTTGTTATTTATTTATTAAATGAGCGATCTTTTCGCTTGATAAGACCCTTATTCATCGTCTGGAATCGTTTAAAGCCCTTTGAACATTTTTTATTGCACTGAAACTGTCTTTTGGACCTCGAACCGTTTGGTTCCCATTGAAGTCCATTATATGAAGAAAATCCTGGAATGTTTTCATCAAACATCTTAATTTCTTTTCGACTGAAGAAAGACAGAAATTGACATCTTGGATGACATGGGGGAGAGTAAATTATCAGCAACTACTCCTAAAAACATCACAAAGGTGAGTTTTAAGGGATACAATGATTGACTACCAACTAACTTGCTCAGTAAGATTCAGCAAAGAATGCAAAGCCTAATTTCAGCACATTATGTGAAACCGTATCAGTGCATCATATCGAGAGGCATTTGTGTTCAAGCCCTTGTGTAGAGTGTGTTTCAGGGCTTTACTAAGCTCAGGAAATATTTCTGAAGGTGCTCACATTGTTCTTGACGCGGCTGTCGGCCCCGGCCTCCAGTAACATGCGCACAGTCTTCCTGTGGTTCAGCGCAGCTGCGATGTGTAAAGCGGAGTCCCCTGCCTGGACATCACATTAATCACAGCTTACACAAGATCAGTCAAACGGGTCATTCCGTGTCAAATTAACCAGAGGTCCCCGGATTAAAAGGTTGATTTTGATCTTTGATGGCGTTAATGTTTTGGCTTTCATCACTATTTATGTTTGTCTTTCTTCAGAAAAAAATAGGTTTTTAAAGTTTGTTTGATGCGACACAGAATGACAGGTTTAAAACAGATTTAGAAGTAGTACAGCTTGTCCCATGTCCCAAAAACAGTCCTCACTCCTCACTAGGGTTGGGTATCGTTTGAATTTGAACGATTCCGATTCCGATTCCTTGTTTCGATTCCGGTTCCTAACGATTCTCGATTCCGATTCTTCTAAGAGGCAGGGTCAAAAAAGTTTAGCTAACCTTGCTAACCGACGGCCTTTCTGAAGGAAATACTCCTTCTGTAAAAATACTCCTTTTGTCACAAATTTTGCATTTTGCCGAGATTTCGTTATTTTTAGAAAAGTGAAGCGACACTTTGGACCTTCTCATGTTCGACTCGCGCGGTTATGCCAACACTTCCGGTAGACGCTTCTTCGTTGGTGTTGTTCAGCGGTTTCTTCTTCCGCTCGGCGGACTGTGAATATCGAAACTAGGAATCGAAATTTGAACTTTTGAACGATTCCGGGAAAAACTAAAAGTTAGTCCCGGTTCCAATCGATACTCGATTCTCGATACCCAACCCTACTCCTCACTCACGTGGTTTCGTTCAGTAACCGAGCAGACGGCACCCAGGAGCGCTCGGATCACGGTCACATGGTTATACCGGGCAGACACATGCAGACACGTGTCCCCTACCTGAGGAAGACATGTCCACTGAATATTACTGGAATAGCTTGTTGTTTCCAAGTTAAATAACCAACACACAGATGAAGAGGAGAGAATCAGTTTGACGGCACTCACGCTGTTCTTGCTGTCGGGCCGAGAGCCGCCCAGCAGCAGGACCTTCGCGCTCTGAGCGTGACCGTTCTGACACGCCAGGTGAAGAGCCGTGTTCCCTGCCTGAGAGACATCCAGAACACACACACACAATTATACTGACGGGAATTATCGGAAATACTAGTTTCCTAGTTCAGAAACTGGACATGAACGCCCTCTCAAGTCGATATTTGAAAGCGACGAGCTCGTAATCACGACTTCTGAAGTGGGAAGTATGGATTTCCGATAGCATGTTAATCTCAATCTCAGTTTATTCATAACGGACAATTAAAAACAACCGCAGTTGACCAATGAGCTAACAAGGGACATCACAAGTTATAGGCAACAGAAAAGAGATACGTTTTTAACCCTCTGATGGTCCTTGGTCACTTCTGACCGAATAATTTTCTGTTTTGAATTATTAATAATCACAGCTTCATCGGAAGGTTATGAAACTTGATGACTTTTTTTGGTATTTGGTTTGTGAATACAAAAAAAAAATTGAGGTCATGATCCGAGCATGCTAAGTGGTCGTAAAAAAAATAGTCACACTCGTGGTCAGAAATGACCGACCCATAGGAAATGAATGGGGAATTTACAAAAAAAAAACAAAAATTCTCTGCATTTTTGTTTGTACAATCTACAAATCGGCCACGATTCTTAAAAAAGTACACCGCAGTAAAGTGGTGACACTCTACAACATCAAGAGTACAAAAAATTTACACCCACCCACATAAACACACATACAAACACACTTTTATACACATACAAACCAATAAATTCAGACTACAAAAAATCTGTTTTGAATTTTTAAAAATCACAGCTTCATCTGAATGTTACGAAACTTGGTGACATTTTTGGTATTATGTATGTGAACACACAAAAAAAATTGAGTTCATGATCCGAGCATGCTAAGTGGTCGTAAAAAAATTAGTCACGATTTTGGTCTTTGGTCAAAAATGGCCGACCCATAGGAAATGAATGGGAAATTGACAAAAACACAAAAATTCACAATTTTTTATTTTATTTATTAATTGTTTTTTACATTTTTTTAAATAAGAAATAGTTTTTGAGATTGTTTCAATTATATATTCAAATCCACCAAAAAAAAAAAAAAATGTGTTCATAAACAGCTGGGGAATTCACATGCCTCTCCATAGAGAGCTGTACATGTCATCTAGTGGTTACACCATGATTCTACGCTTTTTCTCTATACTGTAACCAGATGGTGCTAATTTTCTTCAAAAAATATATTTTTTCTGAAGGCCTAGACTCTATATTTAACTAAAATACTGCATTAATATTTTTTTTTAAAATAACATATATAGAAAAATATACTGTATATATATTAACCATTGAAACAAATAGACCATAAATATTGTATAAATATTAATAAATTCAATCAAATTGTCTCAAAATACTAAATTAAAAAGAATAAATATTATAGAAAAAAAATAAATTGCATTGGTTTTACTGGGATGGAAGAAGTTTCATTTTTAGGCCTCCGGTCACTTCTGACCGGGAAGGCCCAGGACGTGACTCATAAAGGAAGACCATCAGAGGGTTAATCTAAAAAACTGTTGCAGTCCTAATATGAATCGATAAACTGCTCCGAAGGTTAGGTGTGGATGAAGGCATCATTACTGGATCCAGACGAGCTATAATGGAAGTATGTGACTTTATGAATGAATAAAATCATCATAATCAAATAAACACCGACATACACATTTGTATCAATTTAACCGATGTATTGAGTGTTTTATTACTGCAATAAGGCTGTGCTGTAATGTGAACCATAACTAGTCATGATTGAAGGGGTTGCAGAGCTGCATGAGACTGAAACTGAAACGTTGGAACCTCCAAACAACATCATCACGTGTGCAATGCATTTACGAGTGTAGTGACATCACCCAAACACAAGATCAGTCGGAAAACAACCAAACTAGCACCACCATTTGATTGATTTTATTAATCATATACAGACGACAACATTTGAAGTGGATCAAAACCAAAAGTTATACATGAATTTTGAACAATACCCATTTTTGTCTCAGGACAACTTTGATGAGCTTTCCTGATTCTCTTTAAAGCTACACTGTGTGATTTTTACCTCCATCTAGTGGTGAAAAGGTATATGACCATCCAGTGAATAATAGTTTCTGTTCCTCTCAATTCCGATTTCGTTTTAACTCCTACAGTGGCCAATGTAGTCCAAGATTAACATAGCTTCCAGTTCGACCTCGTCCATGAGTGTTAACTCAAACGTAAACGCGAAAGGCAAAGCTTGAATTAAAGGGTTAGTTCACCCAAAAATGAAAATTAAGTCATTAATTACTCACCCCCATGCTGTACCAATCCCGTAAGACCTTCGTTCGTCTTCGGAACACAAATGAAGATATTTTTGATTAAATTTGAGAGCTGTATAACTACCACATAGGCTCCTAAGGGACTGCCTCTTGACGGCCCAGAAAGTCAATGAAGAAAATGTTTAAATATCCCAAGTGACTACCGTGGCTCAACTATATGTTTATCAAGCGACGAGAATACTTTTTGTGCAAAAAACAAACAAAAATAACGAGTTTATTCAACTATTCCTTTTCTTCCTTGTAGGCCAGAAACGAGACTTCCTTAGATTTCCACGACGCATGCGCGAGAACTGAACTGAAGTAGTGTAAGGAGATCGCAATTCTCGCGCATGCGTCGTGGAAATCTAAGGAAGTCTCGTTTCTGGCCTACAAGGAAGAAAAGGAATAGTTGAATAAACTCGTTATTTTTGTTTGTTTTTTCGCACAAAAAGTATTCGCGTCGCTTGATAAACATATAGTTGAGCCACGGTAGTCACTTGGGATATTTAAACATTTTCTTCATTGACTTTCTGGGCCGTCAAGAGGCAGTCCTTTAGGAGCCAATGTGGTAGTTATACAGCTCTCAAATTTAATCAAAAATATCTTTATTTGTGTTCCGAAGACGAACGAAGGTCTTACGGGGTTGGTACAGCATGGGGGTGAGTAATTAATGACTTAATTTTCATTTTTGGGTGAACTAACCCTTTAACAGGTATGTCCCTCTTTGGCTAATGTACATTCGAGATGGAGGGGCAACATGGCGAACCCCTTACCCGTATGTATTTTCAATGGCATATTATACACTCACGAGAATACTTTATTACTTGAACGAAGTAAATATACATTAATGAGCACATTTATTTTTGAAAGAACTAAGTGTTTTTAGCTAAGAATAGTTACACAGTGTAGCTTTAAATGTTGACTTCTGCACTACGGGTGTTTGTGCGGTGGCAGATGTTACCTTGTTCTTAGCGTGAACGTTGGCTCCAGCCTTCACCAGCAGTTTGACAGACTGACTGAAGCCGTGCCACGCAGCCTCGTGTAGAGCAGTGTTCCCATCCTGAGGAGACACACACACACACACACATACTGCACATTCAGCATTAGAAGGTACATTTATGTACCCTTTCTTTTAAAGGTTGAACTGTTCAACTGTGTTAAAGTTCATGAGCTGATTAGTGATTAGTGTATCCAAATATCAGGTCAGGAGTTCTGAAGCGGCGATCAGAGTAAACGCGTCACCTCTAGTGAGCTCGCGCTGCCGTTTGGACTTTGAGCCGAGCGGATAAACAGTCCGTGAGGCGCGCGCTTCAAATGAGTTTCGTTGTGCTTTTGCCACATAAACATTATCGAATGTTTATCGAACTCTATATTGATATCGAGTATTGACGATTTTGACTCGAACGTGATATCGTTTTACTGCGAAAAATTGTATAGTGATAATGAATGAATGAGCATATCAATTTAAGACGTGGCTAAATGTAATTTATGACGTTTTTATGAATTTGTATGGCCTAAAATTCTTATTATTAAAGTTAATGACTTACATAGCTACATCAAGAGTCTTTCCCCTGAAGTTTAGAAATCTAAATTGGTGAATTTAGAAGAAATCTACATTTCTGTGTGAACTGATTATTTTGTAGGCATCTTTTGAAAATTAAACAATAGGCTTTATGCACAACTTACTTCCGCATTCTCTGTAAAACAGGTCGCATATCGCTTCCGGACCGGTCCAGGTCTTTTGTATGTGCTTCATGAATTTTTTTGCGGTTTTACTCAAGATAACTTAAAGGGTTAGTTCACCCAAAAATGAAAATTAAGTCATTAATTACTCACCCCCATGCTGTACCAACCCCGTAAGACCTTCGTTCGTCTTCGGAACACAAATGAAGATATTTTTGATTAAATTTGAGAGCTGTATAACTACCACATTGGCTCCTAAAGGACTGCCTCTTGACGGCCCAGAAAGTCAATGAAGAAAATGTTTAAATATCCCAAGTGACTACCGTGGCTCAACTATATGTTTATCAAGCGACGCGAATACATATAGTTGAGCCACGGTAGTCACTTGGGATATTTAAACATTTTCTTCATTGACTTTCTGGGCCGTCAAGAGGCAGTCCTTTAGGAGCCAATGTGGTAGTTATACAGCTCTCAAATTTAATCAAAAATATCTTCATTTGTGTTCCTAAGACGAACGAAGGTCTTACGGGGTTGGTACAGCATGGGGGTGAGTAATTAATGACTTAATTTTCATTTTTGGGTGAACTAACCCTTTAAAAGGAGCGAGCAAAGATTAGCATAAACAATATCCCTCACATGTGCAGATTGATATTTAAACGTTTTATATTTTTTATTCTTCACAGCAACGTTTAGATATTTAAATGGAATAAAACGCCAATAACAAAGTGAACTAGTTAGGTTAGCTGATTACCTTAAATATCCATAGATATCGTAGTCAGTTCTTACGGCCGTTAACACTTTCTCTGACAAGCGGATGCGATGAGACCCGTTTTCCGGTTTGGTCACGTGACGCACGGCATAAAGCCTATTGTATGAGTTTGAGGAAGATAAAATTAATTAACTTTTTAAATATTTTTAAAAAAATATTAGAGTTGTTAATATATATACTTTTTTGTTTCAAAAAAGTAAAATAAATTTTTAAAAAAATTATGAGAAGTGCCCTTTTTTTCACTTGAGCCCCTGCCCCTCAAAATGTCTGTGCACGTCCCTGTTCTCAGCCAATCATTTGGAAGCAGCTCAATGTTGGACTTGTCAATGGTTCAGGCTGGTGTAATGGTGTTTGGATTATTTTCTTGACACACTTTGCGCCCCTTAGTACCAACTGAGCAACGTTTAAATGCCACAGCCAACCTAAATATCCTAGCCTCTTCCAGCGGGATAGGCCTTCAGTCACCAGATCTCCATCCAGTGGAGCCGCTTTGAGATGTGGAGGAACAGGAGTTCCCAATGTACTGTTAAATGTACAGTAACATTTTGAAAAAGATGTCTATTTTTATTCATTTTATTTTTATTCCCAGTTTTCTTACTATATTTATGCACATGTGCACCAGGACAAATTCCTTGCACATGTACTTGCAATAAAAGCTGATTCTGAGGAGATTCAATGTGGAGCAAAATCTCTGAGGAATGTCACCTTGCTGAATCTGTGCCACGGAGAATTAAAGCAGTTCTGAACGCAAAAGAGGGTTCAACTCGGCACTAGCAACGTGTACCTAATAAAGTGGCCTATGAGTGTCTATATATGCATTCATGTATAATATATATATATAGATCAGATAGTTTATGACAACTGTCTTTAAGTGGCATTCGCTCAATTATGACATTTTTAAAGCAAATGTGACATTGTTTGAGATGTATTTGTTATGACACCTTGACCAACCAATACATCATAACTTGTAAGTGTCTTGCTAATGACAACTTGACATTACTAAGACAACACAACCTGTCATAAACATGTCATTAACATGACATAGCAGATTAATGATCAAACTTAAGAAACCACTTAGCTTTATTGGTTAACATTACATTAAACTGTCAGGTGGTTGGTTTTGACATTGGCTGTCATGAAGCCATTATAACTTTTTAATGATAAATTCAATTAGTAGCACTGTAATCAAGGTCACGAAAAATATTCATGACACAGTTATAATGGCTTCATGACAGCCAATGTCTAAACCAACCACATGACAGTTTAATGTAATGTTACCCATAAAGCCAAGTGGTTTCTTAAGTTTGATAATATATCATGTTTATGGCATATTTATGACAATTTATGTTGTCTTAGTAATGTCACGTTGTCATGATAAAGACACTGACAGGTTAGACGTATTTGTTTATGAAGTTGTCATAAAGACATCTCAAACAATGTCATATATTTGCACTGAGAGAAAGACACTTAATGACAGTTGTTATAACGCATAAATGCATAAAACCTCCCTCATATTCATGGCATATGTCATGTCATGGTTATGAAGGTGTCATGCACACCCCTTCAAGTAAAGTGTTACCAAAACTTGTAATCGGGGGAAATATTGCAATAGAGAGCCTAAGTCCCGCCCCTCCGCTTCCGGCTCATGGGACCTTATTTCGGAAAAAATATGAATGGTAGTCAATGGCGAGAGACAACTTATCTTTTTATTCCATCTGAACTGTGCCCTCAATTACACATATGATGTTTGTCAATTTAAAAGATAATTCTGAAAGTCAAAAACGTCGCAGTTTGTCATAAAACAGAAGAGTAACATTTAGTTTTATGTGAAAATCGCTCTGTGAACTACATCTCCCGGGAAGCGAAACGAGATGCGATGCTCGTGTGTGTGCAGTCTGGTACAAAACACTCGTAACGTTACGATTATAACGTAAGACTGTAGAAACAATGACAGACGTTATGGTGCGTTCTATTATACCCCATAGATATATACACTAGACCTCACCTGGGGGTTCTAAGCATGCGTCAAAACCGCCGCCATCTTGGAACAGGGGTCTTTTCATAGGAAGTAGCTAGGTAATGCTGCTATCTCTGCCTTTACTTCGAATTCATTGATGGTGGCGGACTTTTGTGCAGCGTATGAAGTTCACGGATGAAATCTGAACTAGGAAGAATGTTTTAAAAAAAAAAAAAAAAAATTAAAATGTTTTCTTTCTTTCTGGAATCAATGATAAATACATGTCTGACTGTTGGAACAAACCAAAAAAACAAGAAAAACGCATTCATGATGATTTATGGTGATTTTATTTGCGTTAGACCTGTGTCTACTACATTGACGCTGATGCATTAAAGTGGAGGGGCTCTCCTGTTTCAAGATGGCGGCTCTATTGACGCATTCGTTCTAATGAACTGCCGTAGCCAAGGTGAGGTCTAGTGTACATGTCTATGATTATACCCAACGAACCGACTCGGACCTCGGATTTGACGTCACGTCCACGTTTCAAGCGTTCTATTATGTTTTGCTTGTCCGAGTCGGAGAAAGCTGTTGTAATGGTTGCACTGGCCGAGTACCAGGCACTTACATTAAAATAAACATATTATGACTACACCTCATCAAAACGCAGCCATTTGAACTTGAAAATGTTCACTTTATTTAAAGTTTTTCATGTTAATCTTCTGTTAGCAACGCTAGCAACGTTAGTAATTGCACTCACAACAACCGATTCCCATATCCACAGGGGACGCAGTAATACGAGTGATTATAATCGTCATTTAAAATACCAAATCGGTTCAAAAACAATGAAAACAATTCATTCTTACAAGTCACACAGGGCGCAGCCATCTTGAATTCCGAAACGGAATTCTTGCTCGGTGTCCTCACGGTTGTCCGACGTCCGAGAGGAGAAATCCGAGGAAAGGGGGCGTGTTGCTAGGCAACGTCTGTCGTCCGTTTCGGATCTCCGAGACGGATGAATAATAGAACGCACCATTAGCCTCAGTAAAGTTAGCTTCATTCATTGAGAGAAAATGTGCGCCTTTGGGGTTTGTAGTCTTTGTAATTCACAGTCTTATACCTCAATGGTTTTACATCAAACTGCGACTTTCTTTACTTTAAAATGTATCTTCTAAATTGACAAACATCATATGTGTAATTCAGGGCACAATTCAAATGAGATCAAAATATTTGTTGTCTCTCGCCATTGACTACCATTCAATATTTTTGATAGTTTCACATCTCTCGTGTCACTCCATGGTCTCCTTCTCACTCAATAAAAGTATTTACACCAATCAATATTCCAGTTATTTGACCAGATTACTATACCTTATTCTTTATATATTATATGTGCAGTGAAAGTAATGAAAACAAAGCAGTGCAACTCCTGCTATAGTAAGTGATTTGTAGCATATATGAGAATGAGAAATATGCACCTTGTCCTGTCTATCAAGTGCACATCCTTCCTGAACGAGCGCGGAGATGACGTCCGTGTTCCCCACCACAGCGGCTCTGTGCACGGCTGTCTGGTCACCCTGAGGGAGAACAACACATCCGTCAAGCCGTGCAGTTACAGCAATCAGTTTAGCAATCTTGTTTTGGACAAAACAGATTTCTGATTCTGGTCAAAACACGACAACAGATTTTGAATTATTTGAAAAGAAATGCTGTATAAAAATGATTTTGTTTGCTGTAGCGCGATAGATTCAGTAGAAGTGCAGGGCACACGGTTTAAGATCAACATTTCTCTGTTTTCAGGATCTTCTGTAAAATCAGGATTCTTTCTCTGGAGCAGAAAGAAAAACAAAAAAAAAGGCACGGTTGCCAAAACACAGATAAGGTTTGTGTTGTGGAACATCATCTGACAAAATACGAAGGAAAAATACTAAAACTATAAACGTGCTGTGCTCTGTTCCTCATCGCTCTTCTGACCCGAGTATAATGCGTGAGTTATGGTGCTTTTATGCTTTTCCTCAAAACATCTGCTTTTGTGCTGCACTAAAGAAAGTCATGAGGGTTTGCAAGGAAACTGGTGTACATTTCTGGGTGAATTATTCTTTTAATTGTATGGACCTGAATTTGTATAAAGTACTAATGTTGTAAATATATTTTTCATGTATATATGCTTTATGGTGTTATTTTTCGATTCGATCAAGAACGTAAACCAATGCCAACACTGTTTGAGTATATAGTAGCCAGTCAGTTCGATGCTATTTGTGTAAAACAAACGAGTATAAAGTAAAATAAATAAATAAATAAATAATAATAATAATAATATATATATATATATATATATATATATAGGCAAATTACCATTCAGAAACGTTTTGTAAGAGCCGTGTGTTGATAAGGTTCTCCGGGTCTGATTCTGATCCCCTCCGCTTCCGGCTCATGGGACCTTATTTCGGAAAAAAATATGTGTGGTAGTCAATGGCGAGAGACAACTCTTCTTTTTATTCTGTCTGAACTGTGCCCTCAATTACACATATGATGTTTGTCAATTTAAAAGATAATTCTGAAAGTCAAAAACGTCGCAGTTTGTCATAAAACAGAAGAGTAACAATTAGTTTTATGTGAAAATCGCTCTGTGAACTACATCTCCCGGGAAGCGAAACAACAAGCGAGATGCGCTGCTCGTGTGTGCGCAGTCTGGTACAAAACACTCAGGTATGACGGCGTAACGTTACGATTATAACGTAAGACTACAGAAACAATGACAGACATTAGCCTCAGTAAAGTTAGCTTCATTCATTGAGAGAAATTGTGCGCCTTTGGGGTTTGTAGTTTTTGTAATTACGTATTTTCACAGTCTTATACCTCAACGGTTTTACATCAAACTGCGACTTTCTTTACTTAAAAATGTATCTTTTAAATTGACAAACATCATATGTGTAATTAAGAGCACAATTCAAACCAGATCAAAATATTTGTTGTCTCTCGCCATTGTCTACCATTCAATATTTTTCAGAAATAAGGTCCCATGGTGGTCGACTGGAAGGGGAGGGGCTTAGGCTCTCTATGGGCGTTAACCTTCCGGACAACGTGAGCGACAGTTTAGCCAATCACCACACACCGGGCCAAACTAACCAATCTGAGCCCATAGCGTGTTTCTGAGGGAGTGGTTTCATAGAATCAGGAAGTCGACCAGTCGTTCAAATGACAGAAGAGAAAGCGGCTTACAATAAAGGTGAAATTTATGAAAAATAAGACTTTTTAAAAAAGAAACACTTATTGCACCCCATAAACACAATCATGCAAAGAAAAAAAAGCAGTAACCCCCCCCCCCCCCTTAAGTTTTTTTTAATTTTATATAAAGATTAGATTCAACAGTGACTTTGTCCAATGGAAAACCTAGCGACGGCACACGTCATCAATGATAGGTTTGTTTTTACGAGAAAATGCATTTTATACTCACATCATCTTGAATATCCAGGTCACATCCAGCAGCGAGCAGAATCCTCACAACAGCAATGTGGCCTTTATAGGCAGCCAAATGCAGAGGTGTTCTGCCATTCTGCAAGAAAACAACACACACACACAATCAGGCACTCAAACACACACAGACAGACTTTAACAGCTATGGAGGGCAAGCCAGTGAATGAGTGTGGGCCGAAACAGAAGAGTGACCTGCACAATCCCAGTCTCACGATGAGCGAGAGTAAATAAAAATGTGATCTAGTAGCAGTCACATATGACATCATCAGTCCTCTTTTCTAGCGTTTTAGCACTGATTAATCTCCCAGAGGACTGCGGTCAGGAGACTGTCACGAAGAGAAAGTGACTTACGTAACAGATAATACTCATTTCACACAGTGTGTGTGTGTGTTCTGGCTGCTGTATCAAACAAGGCACGAAGGCCCTGGCCTTTTTTTTGCAAACAAACGTCACGTATTAGAGAGGCCGTTCTTATTATGTAGTGCATTCTCAAGTCCAAACTAGGGCTGCAACAACTAATCGATAAAATCGATTATAATCGATTATGAAAATCGTTGTCAACGAATGTCATTATCGATTAGTTGGTCTGATTACGTCACGGGGATTGTTTACGGAACATGCGCTTCTTACATGCGCTTCATGAGGCGCACATGCAGTCTCTCTCCCTCGCCGCTCTACCCTGTCTCGCGCGCACAACACGGACAGTTTGGAGCACATTATCTTCTGTCTCGCATGCGCACTCTTGATTCAGTGAGTTTGAACTAATTTGCGGTCATCAGGAAACCGCTATCAATATGCAGCACACGAAAATCATTCACCTTTCGGTAAATTCGCCGTTTTGAAACCAAAATAGGTGACCTACGTTAATCGTGTATACTTTATGAAGCCATACTATAGTATAATGTGAGATAGAAATGTATATTTAAGTCATTAAATTCAAGTTAACCTAAGCTTTTCCCTCCACTGCGGCTGTCAGTCATTCAACAGCGCGTCGCGTTACAACAGTTAACATGATGATCTCTTTCCAATGATTCAATGTTATTATTATAATTGATCCGTAGATAAAGGTCTATGATGGTTTTTCTATCTTGCTAGACTTTTATTGCTGTAACTTAATCACTTTCTACTGAGTGTCTGTTAGATCACAACACTATAGTAGAGTCGGCGCAGTATAATTGTTCTTCACGTGCACAGTAGCCTAACTGAAATTTAAAACTGTTAAAAGAAAAGGCTTAATAAACTATTGCATAGATACTGTATACACCGTCAATATGTCTTTCTCTTTCCTTGGTGCTTTTAACTTTAATGCGGCGGACACTGAAGAGCTGCGCGCCGCCCAGTGACTCCGTGTTGCTTCAAGCGCGTCATTCAGTGCTCGCGATGCGCATTTGCACTCTGTGCAGCTCTTTCATGATCATGTCATAATACTTTTTAGCGCAATGAAAGCTTATTAATAGCCTTTCTTGTTCTGTCCTATCTATTATATTTTGCTTCCTCACTAAACAGCTTTAAAACAGCTGTGCATCTGATTTTACGATGTTTTTCATGAATGTATAACAACAATACAAATAGCAATGTGTACGTTTTACCAGAGTTAGTGCTACACTTATTGTCTCTTATTTGTTCCCCACTAAGGAATGTTTTTTTCACTAAATGTTTAGATTTTATAAAATTATTGTGCACTTGTGATATTTCTAGGCTAAGTTTTGCTGAGTTATCCACTAATATAGTTTACAATAGCATTTTTGTCATAGGTTATGGTCATATATATTTTTTTTATTTGTTGTTTTTCTTTATAATGAAGTTATCTGTATTACGTAGATTGTTTAACACACAAAAGAGTGTGGTTTTTAGGGTTTTATTTTGTTATAATAAACAAAAAATGAAATATAATTTTTTATCCGATTAATCGATTAATCGAAAAAATAATCGTCCGATTAATCGATTATCAAAATAATCGTTAGTTGCAGCCCTAGTCCAAACTCACCAACATTTGTAAATATATACATTTGACTACTTTGGTTTGAGTGGCTGTTCATTTTTGTCATGTTTCATGCAGGTGCAGATGTGAAGATCAAGATCTATTAAGAATATTCCAGGTGTTTGGTCATTTGTTCCTTTATGTAATCAAAATATTTCAAAAAAAAAAAAAATTCTTTTAAAAACTTCCTTAACTACGGAAGCCCTGAACTGCAACCAAAAAAAAAAAAAAAAGTCAGTAAAAAAAAAAAAAAAAATCTAGCATTTCGAGATTAAAGTCGAAACGTGCATTCATAACAGTGCGCGTCCACTGGCTCAGAGCGCGCGCGTGTGTATGTGTGTGAAGTCGAACTGCCATGGATAAACACAAAATAGTAGCTTTTTGCGATATACGAGTGTTACCAAAAGGGACGGTGTAGAGTGCCCTCTGGCCTCAGTTTTTATTTTATTTTTGAAATATTCATTTATCGGCCATTATAACTGCCGATACCGATAGTTTGGAAAATGCCAAATATCGGCCGATAATATCGGGATAATATCGGCCTGCCGATATATCGGTCTGGCTCTATGCTGCATTAACGGCAACATTATGTGTTGCATTATCACGATGTCTGAAATAACTATTGTGTTCCTTTCAATAAAACGCCCAGACTGGTGTGAATTATAGAGCAGGCTCTTAGTTTCCCTCCTGTGTGAAGTCTGTTCTGTTCAAATGCTCTCTGATTGAAGGAAACAGACCCTACCTTTGTTTCAGGAATTCAATAAGGTGACTTTACATTACTATTGTGAATAAATATATTATAAATTATACATCAATTATATATAGTCTTTAAAATATCTTCCCCTCAGTCTTTCGGCTCATCTCTTCTCTGATGAGGGCGGGGCAACCTGTCACTCACATGAGATCCACCAATACCATCCAACCAGCCAATCAATTCCCAATGCCCAGTCCACATTTGCTCTTGTTCCAGAAGCTGTTAAACTTTAATATCTGACACAATAGGGAAAGACTATAACAACTTCCGATTCATGGCGAATTCATGAGCCTGTCTGGAAAAACACTCTGTCCCAACTGTCAGAATATAATAACTTAGCCTTACATTTACATTAATGCTTACCTCTCAATTACCAGTACTGGTGCAATAAACTGATAATGTTGTTACCGACCCCATTAAACTGGTTCATGCCACTTTTTCCAGTGAGTCTATAGTCTGTACTGATGAGAGAAATTAGATGAACAAATATGTGTTACATTTAAAGGAGTAGTTCACTTTTAAACAACTTTGCTGATAATTTACTCACCCCCATGTCATCCAAGATGAAAAGAAATTAAGGTTTTTGATGAAAACATTCCAGGATTTTTCTACATATAATGGACTTCAATGGGAACCAAACGGTTCAAGGTCCAAATGACAGTTTCAGTGCAGCTTTAAACGGCTTTAAACGATTCCAGACGATGAATAAGGGTCTTATCTAGGACCCTTCGATTCATGACTCGAAAAAAGATTTGTACATTTCGAGAGTCACGAACGCTCATCACAGAACAGAGCAAAGCAAGCATTTGTGCTTATAAAACTTAAACTTTGTTATTTATTTATTAAATGAGCAATCGTTTCGCTTGATGAGACCCTTATTCATCGTCTGGAATCGTTTAAAGCCCTTTGAACAGTTTGCAGTGAAACTCATTTGGACCTTGAACCGTTTGGTTCCCATTGGAGTCCATTATATGGAGAAAAATCCTGGAATGTTTTCATCAAAAACCTTCATTTCTTTTCAACTGAAGAAAAAATGACATGGACATCTTAGATGACACACAAATTATCAGCAAAAGTTTTTTTTTTTGTTTTTTTTTAAAGTGAAGTACTCCTTAACAAATAGCCTCGTCTTTAAAACACTTTACCCAACAAACTAACTGTGTAAGAGCTGTATGGGACGACCCCCGAATTGCACACAGAGTTGGAGGACCAGGCCTCTGCTTGCCTTGGAAAGTGAAGAGAAATCATCTGATAAGACTGTTTTATTGCTCAAAAGAATGTTGAAGTCAGCCACATGCAAAAGCACAGGCCATAGGAAAAACACACACGACTGTTCTTTATAAATTCAACAAATACAAACTATAAATGAACATGCATATCCCCAATACTGTACATTGTTTCTACTTACTGTTTAGTATATTGTCTCTTTTTTTTAGGCATGTTTTCTGATTGAGCCACTAGATCATGTAACTAGAGGTCGACCAATATGGTTTTTTTCACACCGATAACCGATACCGATCTTTTGAAATCCAGGCCAATCCAGGCAATGCTGCCGATTTATTTTGGCCGATATTTGCTCTATGAAATATAAAATGTAAAAGAAATGATAATTACTTAACATAGACAAACTTTCTCTTTTGTTTGTTTGTTTTGTTTGTTTGTTTGTTTGTTGATGGACAAAGACAAATGGACATAACCTAATTATCACAAAAAAGGAGAAAAAAAACTTTAAATGATTTAATTTTTTATACAGTATATAAGATTTATTCATATTTTATTTAATTTAACTTCTAACAATAACGTATTTCACTAGTAAATTGCTGTTGAACGACAAAAAACAACCACCAGATGGGAAAATGATCATTTACAAAAACTTCAAATGCACCACAACGCACCGTCCGTCCGTCCGCTGTTGGACCTTTTAGTCTACAGTGAAATACAGTCACACTTTACACTGTTTGGCCAGCATTTAACCATGTTTAATCCAGCTACTAACTAACGGTCAGTGTTGTGCCTGAACATATTTACGTTCATATTTAGGTCTGCTGCTCACTCGGCTGGAAAATGACACTGGCGGCAGCGTGCGTCAAACACGTGCTCCACGACAACACTAGGCTGCCCACAGATGTGCCTGCCTAATAATCGGCTTGATATACTTTCCCAGATAGCAAACTGACATTGAATCAACGTGGAAATATGACATCGAAACAACGTTGATCTGACATTGATTTGCTCATCGAATTAACGTTGAACCAACGTCAGACGCGTCATTCTTTCAAAACTAACGGAAAATCAACTTGAAATCAACGCGTTGTTTCAACGTTATGAAAGCAAACCAATTTTCGATTTTCATTTAGCTTTGAAGAATGCCGCGTCTGACGTTGGTTCAACGTTAATTCGATGAGCAAAATCAACGTTGTTTCAATGTCATTGAGAGACGTCGTTTCCACGTTGATTCAATGTCAGTTTGCTATCTGGGTTGATATTGGCCGATGCCGATTATGTTAAAAAATGCCAAATCCGACCGACCGATTAATCGGTCTACATATCGAAGCTTATAAGCTTCCTGTGGATTCCAATAGGACTGCATGGATAAACTTTATTTTTAATGACGTTCCAGCTGATGAGGGTAAAACATCGTCGTCTGTTCGCTTCATTTCACTGAGGATTGTTTTGTAAACAAGACTGGATTTGCAGACCGATTAACAGTAAAGAACGGTGCTGTGCCGACTATATTGGCTCTGACAGGAATTGTGAAACACACGGACTCTGGGCCGAACATGTATGGGCGAATCCGGTTGCCATTTGACAACATTGGACGTTTTCCCCCACGTGCACCGACGGGTGAGTTGAAACTCATTGTAATATGCAAAACTGTTCTCCACTCACAGCAGTGGGCGTTTATTTCCAAGTCTTCAGTGCGACACGCCCATAAAAACCGACCGTTTTTCAGGAAGGCTCACAACTTGGGTACAAAATAGTCTTTGATGTTTTTGAATGCAAAAACCAAGCGAATGTCATAAATTGACCTCAGACAACAATATAATAAAATTTAAAAAGCCAGTTCATGACCCCTTTAAATCAGAGCATAAAGGGACCCAAACGCAACAATCGCACCTTTCTCTCACCGGTCAAGCCGAACTGGAGCGGCGTGACCTCAGTGGAGGCTCAAGAGCGTCTCCTGGGCGCTGTTTGTGTGGCGCGACAGGCCTCAACACATCAGGCAAGACCAGAGGCAGACTAACATCAGCTCTTCACACAACTTCCTCTCCATAAACTATTAAAAGCCATTAAGACTTTCATCTGAGACTGCATCTACGAGCGCGACGCCCGAGGCACTGCAGCACTTTCTTTGCTCTTTGTGTTTGTATTGAGATTAACGATTTCCTGACGTGTATGTTCAGAACGATATGTGCATGTGCTCTCACACTAGATATGATAGACATGTTTCATATGTAGCTATTAGAGCCCGACCGATAAAGGATTTTGAAGGCCGATACCGATACAAATATTTTTGGGTTTTAAAATCCGATATATCGGCCGATTTTTTTTTTTATTAAATACTGTTGGATTTCACACACATCACGTGTAAAAGAAAAGCTAACTTTTCTGCACAAGATACGTTTGATAGTTTTTCTCTATGTCTAAATGTTCACTCCTCGCAAGTATAACTTACATTTTACAATGCAGGGACTGTAACTAGAGATATGCTAGTTATAAATACAGTAATCATTACTTTATTCAGGCAGAAAAAGTTCATTGTGGTTTCCAAGCTCATTAATGTTAACGTTAGCGGTCTTCCACTGATGATATTGGCATTAGCTAGCTTTGTGGTTAGCTAATCTATGATGAGCCATAATTTAGCAATAGGTAACATCATACTGCAAATGGAAAAACATACATTTTCAATATAACAGGCCAAGGAGAGATGATTGAAGCGTGTTTCGTCCATTTTTATTTTATTTTTTAAATATTCATTTATCAGCCATTATAACCACCGATACCGATATTATGGAAAATGCCTAATATCGGCCGATATATCGGTCTGGCTCTAGTAGCTATGTCTGGTGGGGAGAAAATAAAAATAGATTTTATCATCTGACTGGATCTGCTCCTTGCATCGTATCGCATTTTTCTTCAATATCGTGCAGCCCTAATCGAGGGAACAGACACAAAGAGGGCTCTCGAGAGCCTTTTGATGCCTAATATCACAAATCCCAGATAGCAAACTGACATTGAATCAACGTGGAAATATGACATCGAAGCAACGTTGATCTGACATTGTTTTGCTCATCGAATTAACGTTGAACCAACGTCAGACGCGTCATTCTTTCAAAACTAACGGAAAATCAACTTGAAATCAACATTGTTTCAACGTTATGAAAGCAAACCAATTTTCGATTTTCATTTAGTTTTGAAGAATGCCGCGTCTGACGTTGGTTCAACGTTAATTCGATGAGCAAAATCAACGTTGTTTCAGTCATGAGAGACGTCGTTTCCACGTTGATTCAATGTCAGTTTGCTGTCTGGGATGGGACTTCACAGGTGCGCATTTGTCAAGGCGGGCATCCCTTCCTTCGGCTCACGATGCTGGGATAGGCTCCCTCCACCCTACTAGGACAAGCGTTTTGAAGGACCAAGGTCTTCAGATGTACATTAACACCAAGACCTGTATAGAAGTGTATAGAACCTATGTACAATTATAATATAATGACTTCTAGACCCTACTATAGAACTAAGATTACTAACGCATCACACTGACCTTGGTAACGGCTACCTTGGCCCCTTTGTTGATGAGCTGAACCACATGCTCCGCTTGGCCCTTGTGCGAGGCTATGAGGAGACGCTCAGAGAGAGCTCGCACAGATGATGATGCATCCTGCTGGGTCATGAATTAGGGAAAGACTCGGGGAGGGGGAGGTCTGGGGATCAGGAACAGGAACGAGTCCCTTTGCCGTGGGATGAGAGGAGAGAGGAACCATAGATGTCCAGCTCCTGGAGGGATCTAACCCTCATGTCCTTTGGAGAAAGCCTGCAGGGAAACAGGAAACGGTTCCACCGTCACAAAAGCAGAAATATTTTTCCAGAGTAAGAGCGGATGTGACCTGCAGGCAATGTGAAACATTCAGTTGTCAGCATAATATCAGCAGATCAGAAATGGTCTCATTGGTTTTCTTTAGTTATTAATGTATTTAGTAACATGACCTGACAGAGAGTCGTTTTATTTTTACAACATTTATTAATCTTTGTTAAATTCTATTTTATAAAAAAAAAAAAAAATTGATTAAAAAAAAGAGGAAATGTTGAATTAACATTAAGATAAATACTATAGAGTTTATTCGTGTTAACTAATATCATTTGTAACATCCCAGATAGCACAAGTCTATTTGATTGACGTAATTTTAAGAGTTTTTGCTCATCTGCAATAAGTCTATAGGACGTCTCCTGTCAGATGTCAAATAGACGTTTAGAAGATGTCAGTTTAACATGCATTCTAAATCATTGCATCTTCGAGACGTCTTCTAAACGTCTATTTGACATCTGACAGGAAACAAACACTCTTAAAATTGCGTCTTCCAGATGTAAACATCACCTCAAATAGACTTGTGCAATCTGGGATCGAATATAATCGCCCCACACGAGTACTGCATGTATGCAGATAAAGTTGGACATACTAGACATTTTGCAGCCAAATAAAAAAAGTAATCTATCTTCAGAAGGATGTGAAGCATGAGCTTTGACAGACTGAATTCATGCTGACACTGATTATTTACACCTGGTTTTGGCAAAGACTTGAGAAATGTCATTTGATCATGTTGTGTTTGACTCACTTGCACATGTTTGCTGTGTGCATGAATTCTCTCGACACTTTCGCTTGATTTACGCGGGTAACGCCTCGAGGTCAGCAAATGACAACATACAACTTCAACATATTGTTTAACTGATAGAATCGTGTGCAAATAAATAAATACAAATGAAATACAGATTAAGGAATGTATTCCTTAAAATTAACTAAACGCAATGGATTTCGAAACAATGCGGTAAAAGTGGAACGAAACAGTGTTAACTTACATAGCAGACGCGATTCCTCACTGGCCAGTCTCAGTCTCGCGATCACTAAACAACACTGAGATCCAGCGCCTGGTTTCAGCGAAGAACTTAAATATGTCTGGGTTTTAAGCTAGTTTAACCCTCAGGTGCTCTTCGGTCATTTCTGACTGTTTTGAAATGTTAAAAATCACAGCTTCATCGGAATGTTACGAAACTTGGTGACTTTTATGGCATTGGGTTTGTGAATACAAAAAAAATTGAGGTCATGATCTGAGCATGCTAAGTGGTCTTAAAAAAATAGTCACACTTGTGGTCTTTGGTCAAAAATGACCCCCATAGGAAATGAATGGGAAATTGGCAAAAAAAAATTAAATTGTCTGAATTTTTGTACGTGCAATCTACAAATCGGCCACAATTCTTAAAAAAAAGTGCACCGCAGGAAAGGGGTGACACTGTACAACATCAAGAGTGTAAAACAGACAAACCCACCCACAAACACACACATACAAACATTTTTATACACAAAAACACCAATAAATTTTGATTACAAAAAGTATGTTTTGAATTTTTAAAAATCACAGCTTCATCGTAATGTTACGAAACTTGGTGACTTTTATGGCATTTGGTATGTGAACACACAAAAAAATTGAGGTCATGATCTGAGCATGCTAAGTGGTCTTAAAAAAATAGTCACACTTGTGGTCTTTGATCAAAAATGACCCCCATGAATGGGAAATTGACAAAAACACAAAAATTCACAAATTTTAATGTATTTTTTTACATTTTTTTTTTATAAAAATCGTTTTTTTGAAACAATCGTGAGATTGTTTCAACCATACATTCAAATCCACCAAAAAAAAAAAAAAAAAAAAAATGTGTTCATAAACATCTGGGGAACTCACATGCCTCTCCATAGAGAGCTGTACATGTCATCTAGTGGTTACACCATGATTCTACGCTTTTTCTCTACACTGTAACCAGATGGTGCTAATTTTCTTCAAAAAATATTTTTTTTCCTGAAGGTCTAGACTCTATATTAAACTAAAATACTGCATTAATAATTTTTTGAAAAAAATAATATATATATATATATATATATAGAAAAATATATATATTTTCCATGGCAAAAATAGACCATAAATATTGCATAAATATTAATAAATTGAATCAAATTGTCTCAAAATACTAAATTAGAAAGAATAAATATTATAGAACAAAAATAAATTGCATTGGTTTTACTGGGATGGAGGAAATTTAATTTTTAGGTGTCCGGTCACTTTTGACCGGGAGGATAACAAGTGTGACTCCGAAACGAAGAGCACCTGAGGGTTAAAGCCAGATGAAGATACACTGTGCGCAACGAACGATAACGCCTTTTCAATCTACAAATCACCATCATTCACCTTTACTGTATCGTGGCAGAAATGTGGGATACGGAATTGTATTATATTATTATTGTAGACATTCATTAAAGGTGCTCTAAGTGATGTCACACGTTTTTTAGGCCCAAACATTTTTTGTCACATACAGATGATGGGTCTATATAGACAACCCAGGCTCCACAAATGGCAACAAAAACAAACTGCGGCAACCGCTCCATGAAACATAACAAACTGTTCCAGCCAATAACTGACCAGAAGGCCCTGGGGGTGGGGTTTGGGGGGTCAGGACAGATGAAGACGAGGGGAGGGTCTATCTAGCCTCCGTTTTGTTTGAAAATACTTTAAACCTCAACAAGTCACGTCACCCGACATCGCTTAGAGCACCTTTAAAGGAGTAATGGGATTTAATTAGCATTTAGTAAAATGCATTTGTGCATTATTTTATACTAAATGTATTTATGCTCCTGTTTTTCATACAAATACCATAGAAAACATATAGTTACATTTTACTAAGGTATTGAAGAGATATATGCATGGTTGTAGCCCTCAATCGGGTCATGGGGTCTATACAACCCCAATCGACTTTTACTTAATAAAAACTTCCCTTCATCTCAGTGGAATAAGATTTTGTAACTTTTCATACAATGGGTCTCATTCATGAAACACGAGCAGAACGAATTTGTGTGTAAATGGTGTGTAAAGTGGTTCAGGGACGTAATCATCACGTTATCAAAAATTGCTTAACTGGTTTCCCTCAAAGATGACTGCAGCTGGAGAATTGAGATGTATAGATCCCGCTGTCATGTCTATTTTTAAAATTAATCGAGAGCGCATTCATTTTATTAGACAAACAGAAAACTACAATCAAGGCATTTGTCGATCGGAAAGATATCTTTGACTTGATTCGGCAAAAGTGTAACTTATCAGCTGGCTCTGACGGTCGCTAAGAAGATGGGACGTAATGAAAAGCTTGCGGTCGTTGTGGTTTCTCCTTTGGCCGCACTCATGAGAAGTAAGTAAAAGAAGCAACACTCGTTATTTTCCTTCTAAAATAAGTAAGTTCTGTAGTTGAAAACTGCGCTATGCAAAGTTGTTGAGTTACTGCGTTGCTCTGATTGGTTGTAGGTCTGTCCGACTATCCAATTGAGTGCAGAGATTTTTTTCCCTGGTTCAGTTAAGAAACGCCTCATAATCAAAGCCCTACGGAGCAGATTCAGACTCATATTCTCACTAGAATATGAGTATGACGAAGTCAGGCTAAAAAATAATGGTCTGGTTTCGACAAATTTTACTTAGGAGCAAAAATGTGCCTTTTTAGACTTAAAAGAAATAAAGATTTAACATGTATCGCGATACTTCTTGATATCGACTGATTTTACAGATTAAATTAGTATCGACAATTAATCGACCGTTGATTAATCATTGGTATCCCAAGACACAGTATGCAGCGTTAACACTAATTCCTTAGCAACTGTTTCCACAGGATACAAACCTAATTAAATAAGTGCTTTGAAATGTACAAAGCTACAATCTAAACCCCCAGTGCTTCAAGTCAAAAACTTCAAAGTCAGTAGAGAGATTTATGACGTATATTGATGACCACTGAAAGAGCCACAGATGCACTATGGTAATAATTCAAAGGAGAGCTGACATGAGCAAGTGTAGACAGATCCTCAGCACCACAGCCACACTAGCTCCTACACACATCTGTGTGTTTGACGGGTTCCCGGGACGAGGACTTGTCATGTAATATAGGAGGACTTCTCATGTTATATACAGTCCCAGACAATAGCAAACCCCAAACAATGGCCTGTTCACATTCACAACCTGAAACATTACTCATAGACATGCCTAATACATGGCTCATAGAAACAGCTGTTTCATGCTTTCCTCAAAGGAAAAGAGAAAAACATTCTCAACTTTTTAGGAGAATATTAGACAAAAGTTGTATTTGTAAAGATTAATGCTCAAACAACAGAAAAGCACACTGGGACATTGTGAAATGAGCCGTTTGTTTCACTGCCAAAATATAAATTCATCTTGTTATTGGCCAAGAAAACACCATCAAATTATGTGTACCTTTCTAAACTTTTATCAAAACATACACACACACACATTGGGTTTCCATGTTTTATGGGGACTTTCCGTAGACATAATGATTTTTATGCTGTACAAACTTTATATTCTCTCCCCCTACACTAACCCGACCCCTAAAACTACCCATCACACACACACTAACCCAACCCCTAAAACTACCCATCACACACACACTAACCCAACCCCTAAAACTACCCATCACACACACACTAACCCAACCCCTAAAACTACCCATCACACACACACTAACACAACCCCTAAAACTACCCATCACACACACACACTAACCCGACCCCTAAAACTACCCATCACACACACACTAATCCGACCCCTAAAACTACCCATCACACAAGCTAACCCAACCCCTAAAACTACCCATCACACACACACTAACCCAACCCCTAAAACTACCCATCACACACACACTAACCCAACCCCTAAAACTACCCATCACACACACACTAACCCAACCCCTAAAACTACCCATCATACACACACTAAC